GAGAGTTCAATTCCAAGTTTATAGTGGGTAACCATTGGAATTAATAGAATTAATTAATTAATTAAAGTGTTTAATTAATTATTAATTTTATTAGAGCTCGGGATTATAGGTCCATTAGTCCCCGCGTCGTCCTAGTAATTCTACTAGACACAAAGGGCAAAATGAGAATTTTAGAATTACAGAATTTTAAATTAAACACTCGAAAATAATTAATTGAGAATTAATTATTATTTAAATAATGTGATTATTTGAATTTGAACACATCTTGATTTATCCATTTAAACTTATTTGATAAGTTGTTTAATTTAGAATTCAAATTAATTTAAGTTTGACTTAAATTGGAATTTGAATTTGAGTCAAAATTGGACGACATGATAAAGGATGATTTTCTCTTCCTTCCCTATCTGCAAATTGGTGCCACACAGGGATGAGAATTCCTTAAGGTGGCCGGCCACACTAAGGATAAGGGAATGTGAGATTTTGTTCCAAATTCAAATAGGAGATAATTGACAAGCTTTATCTTGGAAATAGAAATTGGATTCCTTCTAAAAGTTTGACTTCTACTCTATAAATAAGAGAATAATAGAAAATTATGGACACAATTTTTGACCTAATAAAGTGTTATGGCTGAAATTCTCTTAGAGTAAGGGAAGGAAAAAATTCTCTAAAAATTTCACATCGTGCATGCGTTGGTGTTTGTGAAAATTCGAGTGTTTATTGTAACCCGTTTTGTCTTATGTGTGCCCACACACACGTTTTCGTGGATTCTAGGAATTGACGTGGAAGACATTAGTTTTTTAAACACAAAACTTTGGAGCAAGGATTGTTCGAGGTCAAAGAACTCAAGTTATTATCCTAATCGGCCGCCGGATATTTTTCCTAATTGAGTTATTAATAAATGAATTAATGAGATTTATTTTATTCGTGCATAAATTAATATAATCTATAGAGTATCTCAAAGGTTTTATGAAAATTTTTGTTATACACGATCCGCCTTCCCCCACACTTCCGCATCCGAATTCGATTCGAAGACCAACACAGTACCCCACCCTTTTTATTAGAAAAGTACTTTTTACAATATTTATATACCGCACGAATTTCCATCTCACCTGTTTTTGAATTTGGTCGGGGCTCCTCGGTGAAATGCTGCCATGCCGGAGAAGTTCGCGGTCTTTTTCCTCTGCTGCATTCTCTAGCTTCCTCGTTGTGTACTGAAGCATTATCCACTCGAACATTTTCTGGTTCAGTGGGGGTGGGGTTGGGAGGCATCATTTCTTCCTCAAAAAATGCCTCATCACCAAACTCATGAATGTTGGAAAATTAATGGCATCGAGTGCGCAGCGGAATTTAAAAATTTTAATCAACGTCAAAGCCAAACAAGAACATGTTCATGATGCTATATAACATAAATACTAAAGATCTAAAACATACCTTTTTGAGATTTCAGGAAACTGCACATCTGACAGATCTAAACGTTCCAAACAGCAACCGAAAGAGCCTCAACCAACTGGTCTTCTTTGCTATTCTCCTTTTCACAATCGGTGTACGGGTGGGCACACGTCGTTTAATCTCCTCTAGGTATTCTTGATCTCCTTCCAATCACAAGAGAGCCAAAGAAAAAATTGTTCTTGAGAATTAAACAATTTTTCCTCTCAGGAATCTTTTATCAATAGCCTCCAAAAAGTCTCTCAAGTGATCTAATGAGTAATGTGACTTAATAGGCTATTTATAGTGTTTTGGAAGTCATACTTCCGTAACAATTAGGTTTCCCAAAGTTCTAATCGCATCCAGAGTCGATTTTGCCATGTCATCATGCATTTTACGTTACAACCGATCGACCGGTGACAGAGACGTTATAACTCACCGGTCAACCTGTCTTCACTAACCGGTCGACCGGACCGGTCGACCTATGACCGGTCTACCCAACCGGTCGACCTGTCTGCACTGACGAAAGTTGTTTTTCCTAGTTTTTTTAATACGGGAAACTTGCATAGAGTCTCAGTTTTGATTCAAACAACCCAATAGAGAAATTGCCTGATCAAAACAGTCATATAATAGTCTTCCCATATTAAACAACTCTTAAAACAATAATTCAACCAATTTATCTAGAATTAATTTATCAA